AGTTCCACACCTTCGTACGGTTCTTACGACGAAGCTTGACTGGTAGCCAGAGTTCTTGCGAAAGGCACCTTCAGTATCTTCCTTCCTACCTTAGTATCTTCCTTCACATGGATAAGGTTGTTCAGAATCTTGTATAGGAAAATTTGATCCTGGTACTCGTGCCAATAACATGCAAATACGCAACAGATTGAGTTTCTGAAGCCACACGTGGTAAGATACGTATACTTCCGTGTTAAAGTCCAGATTCAGCAGAAACTTCGTAGTTCTCCTTCGTATCTTCTAGATGTCACGGATGCGATCAGCAGACTGCGGATCGGACACCATACTGGGGAAGAGTAACTAAAGTTACTCCGTACCAGATGTAAGTAGCCCTAGGCATCTTCTCGCGTAGGTATCTTTTATTTCCATAGAGGTCCGTTTAACCATTCCAAGTAGTTTGTTGGCTTTTGCGCAGATCACTAATACATGTTCCTTCCAGTTAAGGTGAGAGTCTACCTTAACCCCAATGAGTTGCAGCTTGTTAATACCCGTCCATTGAGGTGGCAGGTAGACTGGATGGGCGAGGCTTTTCTTGTGATGCCAGAGAACTTTGCACTTTGATTAGTGGTAAATTCGTAGGAAGACGTAATTTGACCAGGATGAGGAACTGTCGAGGTCATTCTGCAAGATATGGACGTCATTTGGTTTTTCTTTTTGAATTATCTATCTCAGCGAAGAGGCCAATGCCTAGGGACTCAGGAACATAGTTAGGCAGATCGTTCATGCATCGGTATAGACTAGGTAATTTAAGAACTGAGAAGTGGTCCCAGTATCGATCGTTGCGGCAAACCAGACGTGTACAACAGCCTTTTTTCAGGAAAATAGTTTTTGGCGCTCACTGCTTGAGTACGAGAAGAATTCTCTCTTAATTTGTTTTTAATATTTTTAACTCGATCTACCTACCAAGAGACATATCGGTAAGACTTCCGGTTGAACTACGTACCAGTAGGTCACACTGCTTGTTTGTTACTCTACATTGTTAATGTGTCCAAAAGGTTCACGAGAAGAACACGAACCATATTTATAATGGTAATATTTCATAATGATGTGGTGCTCATATAGCGCTTTTCCCATTCGCCTCAATTCCTTTACAATGCATGTTATGTATGTGCGGGATCCCTGTATTTTTAGCATTGGGCTATCTGTGCCAACCAAGATGGCGTATTGTAACGTTGTACGTTGTGCCTTTTCTCTTTTATTCTCTTATCATCTCAACATACACAAAACCAGTCGACCCACTCGCACACACACTAGCCTCGTGCTCTGTGTTACATTTTGTCCCCCACTAGGGGAAGGGTACGTCAGTCGCTACAGTATTGTTTAAGATGTGCAAGTTTTCAATGATTTTAAGCTTTAAATTCCGAAAAAATCGCCGACTGAAACCAGCTCACACTTGCTTCAAAATAAGGTGAGATTACCATATAATAAAGATGTGGGGTGATGGCCAAATGAACGACAACTCTTATAAGGCAATTGCTTGATAAAAAGACTTATGTGAAGTGGAATGGTAAACATTCGGCGATTTCGCAATTTGAAGCATATTTTGAACGGAAAATGGAATTAGAAGTATTTTGTAGACCAGGTAAAAGCTTCCCATCGCGCAACTCAAACTCAACTCAAAATCAACTCAAACCTCATCTCAAACTCAATTCAAACTCAACTCAAAATCAACTCAAACCTCATCTCAAACTCAATTCAAANAAACCTCATCTCAAACTCAATTCAAACTCAACTCAAACTCAATTCAACCGCTAACTCAGCAAATAGCCAATGCCGCTTCTTGCAGGTAGTAGAAAGCTAGCCTACACACGATAAAGAAGTTTAATAGGGAGATGATCTGTAAGTTAAGGAAATTTCAGTTAATTGCTGGGTATTTAAGGACATGAAAGGAAAAATATCAGCCCTACAAAACTGGCAAAACCAAAGGTCATTTGATTTGAGAAAATAATGATGGTCTTTAGTAGATAAAGATGTGTGCATTTTACGTGAAACCAGTGGAAGCTAGCAAATGGCACACTGACTGGACACCTCTGGATTAGCTTTCATGAACTTAGTACATCTTCAACATTGAGTAGTATTCGTTAAGCTTATGTGTAGAATGGTAAAAAACAATAATTTGATATTTGCAATCTAATATTAGAATTAAACTAGGAAAGAAAAAAGATAAGCAGTACTTCCACTTTCACTGCCAATGTGGACAGGTCGACTGGTTTCATCGACCATTGGTTGTATATATGAACTTGAATTTTAGCTCTTTTTTCGCCTTTAAGCAGGATTTGAATAGCGTCTTACGGGTTTGACCTAAACTTTCTGATATAAAGATGCTGAAAAAGAAATCATTTTTATTTTTTATTTTGCACTGCATTTTGCATTATTTTTTATTTTGTCTCAGTTGTTCTTGTCAAGTTTACTGACAAAATGTAACCTATGTTTTTCGGGAACTTTTGTCGTTCCGCGTGTTCATATGCGTGAAAAACCAAACATCAAAGACGTAAGTAAGCTTATGTTTTGCTCTCCTTTTTTAACCAGTTTTTAAGTCTGTTCAGTTATAGTGCTGATTCATTGTCCTGACAAAAATTTGGAAATCTCCAAAATCTCGATTTGAATCAGAAAGAAATCCAAGGTAAATCTCACTAAGCCTGATATTGTTTTAGATTCGAAGAATCTTTCAAGAGCAAAATTAAACTTTCATCTCCAATGAAAAAAATAATTGAAGATTCCCCCCCCCCCCCCCCCCCCCCCCGATTTTATTTTTACCTTTCCGATTGATCTAAATTGGGCTCCCTGTGACCTGCCTTTTGGGAGCTCCGCTTTTCGGCAGAGCCTAAATTTATAGATCATCTGTTTAATTACGAAGGTAAATCAACAAAATGCAATGAAAGGGCACAGGGCGGGGAGTATCCACGAGTTTGTCAAAGGCAGTTTTATTATTGCATATTTGAAACGTCCATTGTGCAATGAACGACTCAACTTTGGGGGAAATGACATTTCTCTTTCTTTCGGCAAGGAAATCACCTCATTACCACAGGAAACCCAATTTAGACCAAAGAGATGAAATTAAAATGTGGAAAATATATTATTTGTTGAAAAAAATGGATTAGAGCCTCTTACCCATTTTTTCGAAAACTATTATATTAATCTAGTTTTTATATTATTACTCCGTATATCACTCTTATCTTTTGGGCTCCCTGTTGCATTATCATGCGCATGACTTTCAGTGTGGAGGAAGTGAAAGCAACGTCCTGTCACGAGTTTCTCCAAGTGMAAGTGCTTACTTATTCTGTGTTTTTGCTGCCATTGGAAATGTTCTCCTTGTCAAGCGAAGAGGACGATGGAACTTTTGGTGGTYCTGTCGGAGGAGGGTGAGATAATTGACATTTAAAATTAGTTTTTGTCTTGTTTATAATAGTTATAGTTTCTCGAGGTCTTATAAAGATGGTAGCTGATYCATTGGATGAAAGCTTGTCTTTTGACAATACTGAGCACAAATTCGTTGACACGTATTCCCACAGTTCTTCTAAGCTTGCCAGTCTATTTGGACACGACAAGGCATCCTTTACAGGCGGGAACGAATCTTTRAAATACACAGCTCCTAAGCAACCAAGGAAAGATAAACCGGGTAAGTTATGTAGCGCAGCTTGAAGTTTGTGATAGACGTTGTAATGATGCAAGATCGTTCCTGTAAGTGCTTACAAGCAGCCGCACTTACGAGAACAARTTTGCTTTATGCTACAGAGAGTATRTATTTTGATAGAGTGTAAAWGCATAACGAAGCACTAGCTTAATTTTTTTGAACAGTTATACAGTAATACCGATAAGTTTATGCCTTTATACATATTAYATGTAGCTTACATTTACATTTAGCCTATAATTTCATCAAAAACAGCAGGGCAACAAGGAGAAGCACCAGTAGTTGTGGCCTCTGCAGCAATTCATGGGTATCGATTGTAAGTGTTTACAAAAAAAGATATTTACAAAGTTAACAACAACAGTAGCACCACATAAATAAAAACATGGCAGSCATGCATGTCAGAGTGTTGACAGCAGTTGCATCACTTAAAAGCCAAGAATTTGATTTATA